GGGATATTATGTAGGTCAAATTCTAATACTAATTGGCTAATTACATTTCCACAATTTACATGTACAGTGGGACATAAATATTCGGAGCTTTGATACTTCTCCAAGTTTTACGAGGCATTACACCCCACCCTTCTCTCAAGCACAAATATATGCACAAAAATAAAAGCTTCATGCAAAACTGCATATCATTTTCAAGTATATGAAAACGTATGTGCATGATTTAAAATATATGGTTTAAAAATTCAGAAACTGATGGGGAAAGAAATGAACATGCGTATAGGAATAGCACAGAAAGATCTAGCAGATTTGTCCATCTCTGTGCACATCATTTGTACATAGCATGAGTATGATCATTGAGTTGGCCTTTCTGCATCAAAAGACTTGCAACAACTATTCTGAGAAGCACTGTGAGTGCACAGTTCTATTCCCTGTATAAATTGTTGCAGCTAATATAGAACTTTGAAGTTTACAATCACAATATAAACAAGATGGAAGGCTGAAATGCCTGTTTTGATTGTTGTATGCCTTTGCCTAGTGCACTTAACAGCACCTCACTAAATAAATTCTACCTTGTAAAAGAAAAATAAATATGACAATTTACAGAGAGGACTAATACTGAAGGTAAAAATGATGGTAAATGATGGTAATTATCATCCTGCAAGAGTCCAGGTCCAAAGCTGATTTAACTCCAATGGAAAAAAAATTGTTTTTGTAAAAAAGGAAGTAATGAATATTTAAGAATGTAAAGTAGTTAATAATTTGTGATAAATGTAGAATAACACAACAAATTCAGTGACACATTTAATGTATAATTTTCTATGTCCAAAACCCAAGTTAAGTTTGCCTGGAACATTAAAACTAAGCTGGCTGATTTCTTGCGTAAACTAAACTTTATTTAAATGCTAATATATACAAAACATACCCCCCACCCCAAAAAGTGAGAAATTTGACCTATTCCTGAACATCAAAAAGACCAAGCTCATGACCACTGCCAAGAATGAAAGCGTCAAAATAAAACTGGTGATGGAGATTGAGTGCATGCAAGAATTCACTTTCATAGGATCATAGATTGATCAAAGCACTAAATACAGTACAGAAATAAAGCATTGAATTGCACTGGATTGCACAGCATGAAAAGTAAAGACACCAGCCTGGCCAGTAAATACAGATTAATCCATACTATCATGTTACCCATAGGTACTTTGGTTTCAAAAGCTGGACCATGTAAAATTGGATAGGAACAAAATTGAATCGTTCCACTTGTTCTGCTTGTAATGGTCAGTGGTAAAAGGAAATGAATCTGCCAGAAAACATGGTGATTAGAAACCATCAAAGCTGACACAAAAAAGGACATGGATCTCCTGAAAGAAGCCATAAAAAAATTCTTAACAGTGTGTTAAGAATTGATCCATAGAGTTTCTGTGAACTAGACATGATTGAATGATATCACCACCACCACCACCACCACCACCACCACCATCATCTACAAAAGAGTGTGAAACTTTCACATTTTTCACATTTTTCTCTACTGCATTTTGAATTAGTGTAATCCTTTGGCTTTTTTCTGTTTCATTTCTTTCTACATTTCTGTTTGGAAATGAATTCACGGCATATACATTTATTCAAATAAGGTTTATTTAAAAAAGAATGCCAATTGCAATTTGCTCCCATCTGTTCTTATTTCCATAACCCACCCTGTGTCTTTTGGGATTGCGTGACCCCAAATATTTTGAAATAAATGTAATCATATTTTTGTTTGTACCTTGACCAACATTTACAATGAAGCCTTTTTCTTTGTATCAACTACATTTTGGATGTTAAAAGAAACTTTTGTATTGGGAATATGGAAAGCCATATTTTTTAATAAATTAAAATAGCAAATTCATTCTTTTACCTAGTAATATTACCCTCCATGTTCAGAAAGGAATGTTTCTTAAGCTACCTGTAATAATCTGTTCAGCTAAGGAAATGGTACTCATAATCTCCTCTGTAACCTACACCCCAGTTGTAAACAAAATGGAGAATAGGAAATACATACAAAAAATAATAATCTGAGCCCAAAGTAGTAATAATGGTAATAATGCAACATTTCATAATAATCATGTCTTCATTTAAACTGGCAGTGAGGACTCTTCAAGCAGTTTATGTTTTTTCTAATTTTAATATTTCCTAACAATCAGAAACTCAATATTTGAAGTTTTATGAGATGAAATTTCTGTTGTTGAATATTTGCTATCAACTGAACATTAAAGGATTAGAAATATAATGCTCATTTCTTTTGTAATATTTTAATAGCTTTATGATTTCATCTTCCAAATAGAAAATAAAATATTAAAAGTTTGGAGTATTTTTTATTGCTAATCCTTTTAAAGGCTATCTGATGAGGAAATAAGTATGAGGTACAACATTTTGTATCATAGATGATCGTACTATTTAGGAATATTGATAACTGAAATTTTGATCTATCTACCTTATATTATGGATATAACCATCTACGTACTTTTCTACGTTGTGGAAAATTATGTTCAGCTATGTGATGAGTAAATGCAAGAAAAGAACATACCTTGTCACATTTTTAACACTTGTTTCACAGGATAATTCTTCATTTCAGTTTATAACCTGAATGAGAATATCACCTGAACTTGATAGGTGATGCCCTTTGCTGATCCCCTTTTGCAGCACTGAGACTTTAGAATACCATTGTTACTTAAACTTCTTAAAACCCTAGTAATTAAGTTGGATACTTTTTTTTTAACTTTGCTTTGTGAAAAAGTCTTTTCTGCCTCTGGTCTCAAATGCTTTGTCTTTCTCTTACTATGATGAAAAAAATTGTCCCACTCTCTCTGGAAATTGTTATACATGTTTGAAATCATGAAAGATTAAGTCTTTAAGGACGTTTAAAGTGATACCTCACATCAAAGGAAGGAAAAAAAATTAGCAGGAAACATTCCTAACGAGATCTATGATAAATTATTTCTGACAAGAGGAAAATAGTGTATCAAAATGCTGCTATAGATCTATTGTACCATAAATCTTCAAATAGATTTTTGTCACCTTGATCTAAACTGGTTTGTACTTGACTGAAATATAGTTGATAGAATTTCATTGCTATTAAATGGAATGAAAATGCTGCAGGAACAGACAAAGTTGGCCCACCATTAGGCAAGAAACAAGCTACTTCAACAAACAGATTTTGGTGTCATGAAAGGGCAACAGATTGTTTGATTTGTTATTATTGTATTTTCCTTTGGAGTGCTTTTTCTGAGGAAGTTAGTCTTATACGCCAAAATAACTTTCTTCTTCCAGCTCAGGGTGCAAAATATCCTGACCTGCAAAGAAGAAAAAAGAGTTAAATTCTGGTTGGCAACTTTTGAGAAATGTGCTGCTTGTATCCCATAATGTAGTTCTGCATAGTATTACTGAAGGCATTTCAACTTTTACAAATGAATAATTAATAAGATGATAATAGAATATATTTAGTATCAGTATATACTTTACCACCACATTAAAATCTACTATGTACATATATGTTGAATTAAGGGTATATTTTGTGCATTTGTTTATTATTGGATTGATAGACAACAGGACCTGTTCTATTTATAGTGTTATATTCCATAAATTAAAAAAAAAGTTCTTACAAACATGTGAGATGGGTTACTATCTAAATTCTTGACATTTAGATAATGAGATATGTAAATTGTATCTGTTTGTCTGCCAAAAAAATATCCTCATGAATTTTGATAAAAATCTTACTATCTTTTAATAGCTTTTTCTGTAACATGTATTTGACCAAATTCCTTGGCTTGTATGTGGCAGCTCTTTATTTATAATCCAGATTTTCATAGATATCTTAAACATGAAAGATAAGTAGAAGAATTCGTTTGTCAATTCTTCCTCTATCAGAATAAATTGGAAATTAATAAAACATTCTATTTTAATTACCACTTGTTGCAAAGAACAAAGCTTGATGGCCTTTAAGAAATAATAATATTGATAATTAATGTGTATTTAGCTATGTAAAATATGCTTATTGCCTTGTCCAATCTGAAAAGCCATTCCTTATGATTCTCTAGAGTGATGATGTTCTAATTTGTTAGTATTGAAATGCATATTTTCTATCTTTTATACATGCAAATTTATTGCCTGCTAACTAGTTACTTGCTCTGGCAGTTTGTGCTGTTAGCAGTTGTTCTTATATTTGATTCATTGATTGTATAAACAAGGAATATATTCTGAATAAAGCCTAAAAATTCTGTCAACAAGATAATCATAAAGCTACATAAAGTGGAAGGAAGGAAGGAAGGAAGGAAGGAAGGAAGGAAGGAAGGAAGGAAGGAAGGAAGGAAGGAAGGAAAGGAAAGAGAAGGAAAAGAAAAGGATGAGAAGCAGATAAAATGAAATCAAGATTACACAATTTTTTTTTTCCAACAAATTATTGCCTACTGAATAAATTTGTAATTTATCATTGCTTCCTAATATCATCAGCTAAACTCTGCTGAGAAAGGTTTTTGGGAAATACTCTTTGATGGCTAATGTAGTGAATGACTACATTAATTAGGAACACTTTAAAGCAGAAATTCAGGAAATGTTTAATGTTCTAAGATTTATATTAATTGTTTTTATTTTGTAAATTTTGTTCACCACAGAGTCACTTGATGAGATTGTCAATTATACAAATTAAATAAATAAAGCCAATCATTTACAACTTTTAAGAAATAAACACCTTTTCATAGTATCATGGCTTCTATGATTCATAAAAAACAGAATTATAGCAAAAGAGTTTTTTAAGCCACCAAGCCCCATTCTTTGTTGCTTGCAGGAATCCATTCCTCATGTTTAACAGATGCCTATCCAGCCTCTGCTTGAGAGTATGTTAAAAAAAAAAGAACCCAACACTATTACAAAGTCTTTTATAGAAGGACCTTTTCTTGTATCATTATTATATTTACAAGTAATCCATGAGGTTTTTGAAATATATTTCTCATGCTGGTTCTTTGCAGATACCTCAAATCAGCTATGCATCTACAGCTCCAGAACTGAGTGATAACACCAGGTATGATTTTTTCTCTCGTGTGGTCCCACCAGACTCCTATCAAGCCCAAGCTCTGGTTGATATTGTGACAGCACTTGGATGGAACTATGTGTCAACACTGGCATCAGAAGGAAACTATGGGGAAAGTGGTGTAGAAGCTTTCACTCAAATCTCTAGGGAAATTGGTAAGTGAATCTGTTTTAAAAAATATATTAAGGATGTGAATTTTAAATCCTGGATATGGCCTGCATGCTTCATGTAAAATTATATATTTGATGAGAATAAAATGACATACTTGATGGGACAGCCTGATCTATCCCCTTCCACCCACAGATACAAATGCTTCTTTTTAATCAGTGCTTATTAGATAGTCAGATAGAATGGAAACTTTGTAAAAAAAAAAAAAAAAGGAAGGTTGGGAGTTTAGGAACATACAAATTAAATTGTAGCTGCATGGAGTTCTTTTAAGTAGATTGAGATCCTACTAATGTATTGCATGAGTGATCTCACTGAGGTCTTTCCCACCTGGTATTTGCAATTCAGTTCTTAAATAAAGATATCACTCAGAGTAACTCAGAATAACAACTTGGCCCACTTTTTTTTTTTTTACCTTTCTGAAAGTTTGCCTGTTGGTACTTCTATATCAACAAACTGTTGGAAAATCCACTTTGAGGGAATGTGAAAGTTCTCATTGAGGTGACTACGCAAAATATCATAATACATAAGAATTTTTGGTTTGAAGCACTGGTGTTGATCATTTTTATGGCAGCCCATAAAGATTAATTTTTCCTCTCATTTGACTTGACTCTTGATATACCCTCATTATTAGGATGAAATATTCTTGATAAGTCAAAGGTTATAAATATGATTTCTGTTGCTTTTGATCTCACATTCTATTTTCATTAGAATAGTTACTTTGTGTATTAAAAAACTGGGTATCTTTAAAGAATTGTAAATTTTAGTCATTATAAAACGATACATTTTATTAAAATACATCTTCTTTTCAAGATGCTTCATGAGGTAGGCTAGCCTGAAAGAATGTTGAACTGAAAATTGATTCATGATAACTCATTCCACACTGGCTTTTAGAAGATATTTATTCTAAACATATATTGAAACAATTTCATATAAACAAGTAGTGCAAAAAGTTATTGTATGTACTATTCTGACAAATTTTGGTTAAGACATTTTTACCTTCAGATCTAAAAATATTGAAATAACAAAGAATGTTGATATTTTAAAATTATTTATGTTAAATGCATAGAAGCAGAAATGTGTGGCCTATAGGATATGTTTAGCAAGGACTGTATCAAAGTTGCAAAGACCTGATTTCTATTCGGTGCACCCTTCAAAGTGGTTTTCACTCATTGGCTGATTTCACCTCTTAGATCGGGTATGCTGTGTAAAAATAATTGGAGTGCAAATGATGGGTGGATTACTCAAGCAAATAATGAAAAACTAAACTTGAAAAACTAAACTTCTGGTCCCGATGACCGACCCAGACCAAATCTGCAAATAATGATTTTACTAAACAGAACAGAATAGAAATTGTGAGTTCCCTGGAAGACTGGGTAACTCAGAAGCTTTGTCAGAACTCATTATAACCAAGTTATTTCTATTTGTTCTATGTATACATAGAACAAAATGTTCCTTCCTAGCAGTAGGAAATTTAACATATGCAAATACTTACTGGGATGATGTTAGGAAGCTTAAAATTTTATATGTTGTGGAAGTGGGGGCATACAAATGTTTTTTTGGTTAAAATTGGTTTGTGTTCATTTTTTAAAAATTAACTTGCAATAAAAGATAACTTTGTCTTTTAGATTATGATCATTTGGCCTTTTAAAGATTCAACTGTTGTTTCTTCTTGTCCTCCTTTAAAAGATTTAGAATGAAAATGAATAGATTGTCAGCTGAAGTGCAGCATAATGAAAAGGTCAATGTGGGGTTTCAACAACATGTCACATTGTTGTATTAGACATAAGCAGAGAGGACATATAAAGTAACAAAGCATATAAATATTAATATTGTGTGGGGGATTTATTTATCAGTAAATTCTTGCTTCAAAAATACAGATATCTGAACTATTTCTTGAAATCATGTTTCAGATACTCTTGATTTTAGTTTTTTGCAAAATGTGTTCATTCCATGTCAATAGAATAAAGTTTTAATAATGTAGCTGAGAAGAACATCATTAATCTATTCACCTGTGATCTGAACAGCTACGTAACATAAATACATAAATGAAATGCCACACATTTCTTACCAGACAATATAAGATACATCTAAGATGTACACAATGATGCTTGCTTATGCATGAGGAATTTCCTGTGATCATTATGTATGTCTAACTGCATCTTAAGAACAAAAAAACTGACTCTCTCCCTCAGTTAACTGGTCCTAATGGTCTATAAATAGTGGGCAGAACCAGCAGCAATGCTCTGAGCAATATTGGTGGCAGGATCAAGCTCATTCAGTACCAACTGATGAAGATAAGTAAAAATGCAAGGCAGAGCTTGCTTTTATTTCTTGCAAATATTACACAGGGCAGGTCTGTGTTATTAATGGAACAGTTAGGTTTATGGTAGAATCTCTTGCTTGGCTCCAAAAAGCAACTCTTCTGAGTATGATGAAGTTGTTTATTCTCAAATTTCTCTAACCAAGATGAGCAAGATTGTTTCAGCACCTAAGGCAAACTAAGAGCCACATCTTATTTCTCCTGACATGATTAACAAGGAAGTGTTGATTTGTTCATTGCAGTTTGGAAGACCCGCAGCATTTTTATCAAGCTTTAACAGAATTGTCAAGCTTATTGCTTTTTCAATATCTCTTTACCCAGCAGTTTATCAAATATCAGTTGGTAAAGCCAGAACTTCCTTCTCCATAATTTTTTACATATGCAGACACATGCATGAAAACGCATGCACACAAACACACACATACAAGGAATCTTTAGAGCACCATGTGTCTGAACAAATGTCAGCAAGAGTCTGATGGCAACCAGGAAACAAACATTCTTGATATCTGGCAGTAGAGAATGATTAAACAAATTCTCTCTAGGGTGCTGGCTTTTTGCTTGGTTCAGTTATTGTGACATTTTTATTACAAAATCCAGTCTATCCCTTAATGGAATATGGAATGCTGCAGAGCCCCGTTTATTCCTGTTAGTGGCCAGTGAAGCATCAGAATAAATCCAGACGGGAAGTTTTTGTTTCTTCTGACAGGCAATTAATGGAAGGGATGAAGATAAAACAGAACACCCCAGTTTATGATTAAGGGAAAACACTTAGCGCTTTTTGAATTCTCCCTTGGCCCCTGCTTCTAATACTGACAACCTGAACGTCTGTCAGTACAAAGGTGTTGTTAGAAAAGACTGCAAGCAAAGCTAACCTCTGTAAATTAATTTGAGAAAGAAAGTGGGTTTTGTTGGTGTTTTGGAAGATGTGTTGCACAAATGCTTACTTGAGTCAGTCTAGATATCCTCCTCCTCGTCCTGTTAGGCCTTTTAGCAGAACTTTACAATAGAACTACAAATGACAAGATTTTTCCCTTCCTTCAGTAATTTGTAACATTGTCTTGATTTGGGTAAACATCTTCCCGCCAATAAAACTTTCAGAATATTGTAGCACAGAAGCGTACACTAGCTAATTTCCAGGTAACAGGATGTCTTCCTTCCAGACATAAGGAAGAACAAGCAAAAATTATTTGCTTGGAAAACATGAATATGCAGCCAAAATTGATTATGTACAAAGCACTAAGATGACTTCATGTATATAACATGATCTAGGTGAAACTGTGCCACGGAGTGAAGAAATGAAGGGAAAAAACCCCACAGGAGACTAATCTTGTGAAATCACGCTTTTCCATTAAAATAATAGATTTCATTTTGAAAACCATTTTTTTAAAATATTATAACTCACTCAGAGTCCAAGGGCAACTTAACCCCCACACAAATATTTAAATTAAAGTAGTTTCAAAATCAAATGAGAATATGAGCTCTGTTAGATTTCATCTGTAAATGTGAATCAGATTTATTTACTTTTATTTTCACTTGTTTTGGCATATTTATGCCTTTCTATTAAGCATGCTAACTATATATAGTTAACAATGTAGAAAAATAATCATACCTATATTGTACTTCATCAAGTCAATAAATTCAGTGAGTACATTTCCTCTGTAAGCTGTTGAAAAGAGGAGATATAGATGCCTGCTGTGGAAGATACAAATCCCTACAAATGACAAAAATACATGTTGCATCATCATCATCATCACCCAAACAAAAGAAGCTTTGTACTTTGGTGGTCTGATTTTAAGGTTTAAATTATATCATGCATCCTTTGCTCAATGATGTGATAGCACATTTGCCATTTTGACATCATTTTAGCTTGTAACAAATAGCTAAAGGAAGGGAACCTATTTTTGTTCAGAGAATAACAACTGCAGATATTTCTGTGGCAGAATATTCAGGATGCTTATACGGTCCTGGATGTATTGCTGAATTTTCTTTGCCAAATGCAAGAATGAAACTGTTACAATGAAAATATTTAAAGTAGGCTTTCCAAATGACAGTATTTGTACATACCTGTCATAAAAGGCAAAAGGCTTTATTTATTTCATTTGTATCCTATCACAATTAATTTGTCTTTTGGCACCTTAAAAAAGAGAAAGAAATCACTTGTAAATCTAAAATTTAATATCAAATTGGGATTATTAAAAATATCACACAGATCAAGGATAAAATATGTGCTAGCCCACCTGTATAAATGATACATCAGAAATAATTATAACTATTATAATTTAAATAGAAAATCTAATCTAGTTTATTGTCTTCCACTGACATGTACCTGTAAAACCTGTTTCTTCCTTTCCATTACTCTGTACTAAATGTGCCACATTAGTTTTTCATGACAGCATTAAGACAATGAAGCAAAGCAAATAGGTCCATGCAAAGATTTAATCTAAATCATAATTTGATTCAAAGATAATTCAATTGACTCTCCAAACTGAAATAACTTGATTATTTGGATTGAATATTTGATCAAATTGGGTATCTTTAAATCAACTTAATGACTTTGGAACTAATTGAATTGGATTGAATTGGTCATGTGTGCAGAACTGACAATTTGAATCAAATCAGGGTCAATACTCAGATTTCTATTAGTACATTTGGGTGATGCCCAAACCT